TAATCTAGTATAAAAATCATTAAAAGCAGAATTTTTAGCGTCGCAGATTGTTCTTTTAGACTCTCTGCGGGCCGTTTGATATTTTTTCCAGTTCTCTAAGCTTTTACATGTAAACCAAATTTTATAACATAACTTCTTATATTTTATCTTTTCATGCACATTATTATTCTACCACAAACTATTTTTATTTATAAAAACTTTATTTTGATTCTCCAAGCATATCTTTTGCTACTTGTTTAATGGTGTTTGTTACTTTATCCCACAAAATTTACTTAGTCATGAACATCTCAAATTTTGAAATCTTGAATTTTACTCATAAAAATAAATTTTATTTGTCTTTTAAGTTCCCCATCTAATTCTACGATGATGAGTTTTAGTATTCTTCGTTTTACAACTCTTCATCTTAAAATCTAGAACTAATAAATAATGTTAGGTACTTAAATTCTCACTTGGAATGACCTTACAATCTTTACAATCTCGACGATCTCTTCTTCTCATAAGAAAATAATCAATTTGTGTTTTATTAGATCCACTCTTGAATTAAGTATTAGTAATAACAAAATTATAAGCTAAATTAAAATCTAAAATAGTTCTACCTTCTTCATTAGTTACTCAAAAACCGTAGCCACCATGAGTATTTCTGAAGTCTTTTACCACTCTACCGACTTGTGCATTTAAATCTCCTCCAATAAAAATACTTTCTTCAAGAGGTATCATTTATTTTAAGTTTTCTAAGTCATTCCAAAATTTATCTTTAGACCCTGTATCTAAACCTACTTGAGGAACATAAACACTCTGTGCGATCCAACTGAAGCCGACACCTAGGGGTGTAAACGAACCGAACACGAACGAACAAAGCTTGTGTTCGTGTTTGGTTCGTTTAAAATTTAGTTTGTTTGAAATAAGCTCGTGTTCGTTTCTTAACGAACGAGCCGAACACGAACCGAACACGAGCCTCCTTAGCCTTCTCTCCAACCCATTTAGTTTCTTGAATACATAAGATATTAATTTTCCTGTGAATCATAATATTAACTAATTCCATTAATTTAACATTAAGAATACCTATATTCCAAGATCTTATCATAATATTAGTTTCATTAATTTCATGGACTAACTTCTTTACCCACATTCGTCCGTAATCTGGGAACCCTTGCTTATTTGACATTACAACCGGACGCCGGTGCAGCGGCCCTTGCACATTTTTCACTGTATTCAGGCTATATAGCGCGTCGCTTCCAGGGGATGCCCTAGCACTTACACAATAATCAAAAGGATTCATGTCATGATTTTTTTGATAAGTTTTACGCTGGCTGTCGACTACCCACGCAACCCTCCACTAAAACTAAGAATAAAGAACTTTATTCAGACAGGAGGGAGCATTCAACACATAGTACCACAAGTACATTCTATAGTAATGGTACCCACTCCAATTTAGCACTTAAAAAAATAGAAAATAAAAAGAAAACGGCAGTCACAAAAGTAGGAGATTAAGAAACATTAAAACTGACTCCTAAATTAAATTAGAAATTGGCTAAATAAGGGTAGTTCATTTTCCTAAATGTCATCCAAATGGTGGAAACTGCTTCATGATAAAATGCGAAGCAAGTAAAAGGAACAAGATAATTACCTTTGGGCAATTTGATTCCTCAAGAAAAGCCATTGGAAGATTAGATGCACGTACAAGTTTTTCAAACTTGTTTACTGCATCAGTTAGGCTTTTGGAATCCTTTATAAGGTACCTTTGGAAACCCCACCTCACTGCTATATATGCAAAAAAATTATTGTTAACAGCGATGGATCTCAAATCAGTTATCTGACCTGGTTTCATGTCCGGATAAACAGAATAAAGATATGAAGTCATCAGGTATTCCAAGACAGCATCTCCAAGAAATTCCAACTTCTGTACAAAAAACTTGTGTAAACTGATGTGTTCATGAAAGCTATAACAGCATTCCATTCTACAAAACATGTCAAAAAAATCCTCATTTGATGAAAGACAAAAATTAACATATCAAAGAAACTGACCTGGTAGCACCCACCAGAGTGTTTACCATAGGAAGGGTGAATAAAGGCTTGAAGAAGAAGGCCTCTGTGCTTAAATGTGTAATCTAATGATTCCTCCAGTTCTCTGATATTTACAATTTCAACAAGCGACAAGTTGATATTGCTCCCTTCCAGAACTCTGTAAACATCTGAAGCCTTCAAATCACCTTGAATACCAATCAATTTAAGAAATGCAATTGCAGCTCTGAATCCACTTTCAACAAGAAATGCTCCAACAAGGGCTTCAACAGCATCTGCAATAGTTTTCATGTGCAGCCAATGATGCGATTTAGTACACTTCACATCCACAAAATCTGTTCCATCTTCCACGTTACAAGAATGCACTGTTGATTGTGTATCCAAATTGCATATGTTAGTACATGAACGTCCAATTGGGAAGTATTGAGATGGCTCAAATAATTCATCACGTATATACACCTGAGACAGATAAACAAGCTATTAATGGCTATTTAATGCCACAGAGCACAGCAGCATAAGTTACAAAAACTTCGAAGGTCAAAGAAAAATTAGAATACTATTTGCAAAAATAATAGGTGAAACATAATTGTAAGGGTAAGAAGTGTTTTGGTAGTTAAAAAAAGGAAGCAAATAAGGAGATTTAGACCAGTATAGTTCATCCAAGGAAAACTCATTTCGCTTTGGATTTCCAAGTCCACACGCCTCCAGCAAGCTCTAATATCTTCTCACTAGCTAGATCTCTTCCATTTCACAGCTACAACCAAAATTCTTATTTAGTAAATAACCATAAATATCACTAGACATTTTAAGAGTGTCTATTTTAGTCCGAATTTTTTCAGCTCTTCAACTTAGTACCCAATGCAGTGTTGAGGGTAGAACCAAATTAAGTTCAAATTCGACAAGTTGATAGATAAAATTAATAACCAAAAAAACATTTGGACAAACCAAGAAATTTAAGCCTAATAACTGCCAGGAAATACATAAAATAAAAATTACATAAAGTAGGAAATAGCAGAAAAGGAAATAAATCAAAACTAATAACTTCTATCACTCCCCCTCGAGTTGAAACATAAATGTCAATCATGATCAACTTGGATTTTAAATCATCAAACAATGAGCGAGGAAGATATTTTGTGAGATATAACTTTAAGTCTTCATCCTCAAGAGCATTTAAGGATACTTCAAGTTGATTGTGGTTGACTTTGACAATAGTATCTGCAATTCTTGTAGGTAGGTGGAAGACTGCTACAGGTAATATTGCAGGAAAGATTGCATGAAAGTAGTCGACCTAAAGAGAAAGCTGCAGGTTATGGCCTGTAAAGAAAAAACACTGGATGGCCTGCTGCAGGAAAGGGCTTCGAAGAGGGTTGGCTGTAAGAAAAAACTTCGGAGGAAGGCAAGTTGCAAGAAAAAGCTCTGGAAGAGGGTCTGCTGCAGGAAAAAGCTCCGGAGGAGAGCCTTTTGCAAAGAAAAAAAACACTACGATGGCAAAAAAAAATAAAGGAAGGCGTTATCAATGCCATTTCCGTGAAAAAAAAAGAGAAAAATAAATAAATAAATAAATCATCATACATGAATAACGATCATTGACGGACATGAGAGGTCGACAAGTCGGAGGAGAACTGAATAGAACCAAGCAACTTAATCCACCTGACTCTCAATAGTGTCCGACAAGCTAGGAAAGGTTCGAGCAGGGACCAGCTAAATTGTTCTGGATTATGAGGTCGTTCCGAGACCTTTAGTAGTGGAAGATTTGATCGAGACTTGCTTTCGGTTTCACGTGGAGTTTGTGGTGTTCAGATCCTCCGATATATGGATGGATTGAGGTAGATGTCGAATCTCCGATGAAATCAAAAACAGTGTCGGATGGATGCTCAGAGGTGGAGGAATCAACCGTGGCTCTAACAAAGTCAAAGGAGAAGATCGAACGCAGAGGCATGGAAGGAGTCAATTCTTGTGTCTGGCAAGAAGGGACACAAATCTGGTGAGCAAGTTGAGTATCCTTCGACATAATAATAACCCTCTTCGTATGGAAGGCACAAAGTTTTGTGTCTTCAAATGAGATCGACAAGGTAAGTCTCCGCAGCCTCTTGAAGCATAGCAATGACAAAACTTTGGAATTGGAGATTGGTCTTGAAACTATGTGCAATTTCACGAACTAGATGCTAGAAGGGAAGCTTGAGAATGAGGAGCTTTGTGCTCTTCTGGGATGTCCTGATCTCCCTCAGCGTAATTGTTCTGGGAAGAAAATGTTCTTCATGCCATTGGTCGCAAGCTTCCTCACTGCCCTAGCGGCCAGTTGCTTGCTTGGGGCTTTGTCGTTGATGGACTTGCAAGTGATTTGATCTGCCCTATCCATCTAGGTGGTCTGGGCTTAGGCTCGAAAGGCCATGGGGATGCGATTCTCATGGGAGACCAAAAATTGCTTTTTGCTTGTGAAGCGAGAGTAAGCTAGCAGAAAGAAGTTCTACCATGAGACGGGACCTGCAAGAGGAAGGTCTCCTGCAAAGAAATTCTCACAGGAGTAAGCTAGCAGAAAGAAGTTCTAACATGAGACGGGACCTGCAAGAGGAAGGTCTCCTGCAGAAGGAAGAAATCCTGACTGTAAAGAAAGACCGCATTGCAGAAACATTGCATAGAGAACTTCGACTGGAGGAGGTCTTAAATTAGGAAATTTCGGCCGTATAAATGAGTTCCAGTGGCTAGAGGATTGCAGGGAAAGGAGTTGCGGTGGCTAATTCTTGCATGAAAGAGTTCCTGTGGCTAGGGCCTGTAGAAAAAGGAGTTCCAATGGCTAGGGCCTGAATGAAGAGAATTCCGGCGGCCAGTGAACCGCAAAGAAAGGAGTTCTGGCAGCTAGAACCTGCAGAGAGAGAAGTTCCGGCGGCTAGAACCTGCAGGGAGGAGTTCCGGCGGCTAGAACCTGCAGAAAGAGAAGTTTCGTCGGCTAGGGCCTATAACAGAGGAAACATTGCTAGCTGCAGGAAATAGAAAGTTTTCGGTGGCAGAAGATCTCCTTCGATGGAGACTTTAGGTTTTGTTTCAAGTCTTTGCTACCATGTAGATTTTGAGGATATAATGGAATACATAAATGGGTTATAAATATGGCTTACATGAATCCTAAAAAAAGAAATACATAACACCTATATCTCCAAGAATACAATTAATCAATTTCTAATAACTATCAAGAGATAAAAGAAAATACAAAATAAGAAATTACAGGAAAATAAATAAATCAATACTAATAACTTCTAACATTCAAGTATCAACAATTTTAATAACATAAGTAGAAGTTAAACTACTTGACACGGGTGAAACACGCTGGGACATAACTCGGCGAACTGTCACAAAGAGGGAAGAAGCGGGAGGCGAGATCGTGCAGCACTAAATGCACGCAAGCGAACTCTAGCGAAAAGGAAGAGGCTTTGCGAGCTGGCGCGCCTGTGTAGTATTTTCTGGATTCTTCTTACCTTCTCACCCCTTCGTGCAACACTAAATGCACGCAAGCGAACTCTAGCGAATAGGAAGAGGCTTTGCGAGCTGGCGCACCTGTGTAGTATTTTCTGGATTCTTCTTACCTTCTCACCCCTTCCTTTTGTGGCGAAGTTTTCTTTGTCCAGTGTGAGTCTACAAATTGTTGACCCCTATAGGGTTTTGTTGTCTTCAATTTTTCTGTGTAGAGTCATTTTCCCTCTTATTAGAGCTGCATGCAACAGCATGTGGTGCTCCGATTATATCCTGCTCCGAGGTGGTGTTGTATCCTCCCTATATCTTCCTCTTCTTCTCCCCAACCCTCCTCCTTCCTCTTCCCGAACCACCTACCACCCCTATCTTCCTCTCTACCGCCACCTCTACTGCCACCATAACCTTGTTGTCAAGCTCACCTACAACCTACCAAACACCATCCCAACATACTCAAATAGCAACTCGGTCTTCCCCTCCTTTATCTAGCACTCCGCCAACGCAACCACAACCTTCTAATCTCTTCCTACAGCCCTAACTGAAGTATAGTCTGCTGTCGAGCTCTCTCTTTTCCGTTTGAGCCCTGTTGTAACCCTATTTATATGTTAATAAAAGTTTATTTATTTGTTCACTGCTAAATTCTAACTGGTTCCGGTATCATTTGATATCAGAGTTAGTCCAACTCTAGTCCCATCTTAAGGTCTCAAAGCATACACCCTATCCAAGCCACCTCCGCCAAACTTTTTTTTCTGATTCACAATCCTAGCAATGCTGCCGCGAGAATACACCAGACTCTACCCTAAATGAGATTCAACTAGAAATCTGTCACAGGAAGACGTTCCCTTCGACCGTGGTTGAGAGAGTCAAAGAGAAAACAAAGACGAGGAGATGAATCCCTTTAAGAAGAAAGATCACAGTGTCGAGGAATATCGAGCTCATCATTTTTGTATCTAATACCAAAGGAGGCTGAGAGAAGAAGCTCTTATGGAACTTAGAAGGACTTTGGCATTGAGATGGACCTCCCATAATTTGAGAGAGGTATGGAACCCAATGAGTTTATCGACTAGCTGCAATCAGTCATACAAATTTTTGAGTATAAAGATGTACCAGAGGACAAATGAGTCAAGCTAGTTGCCATTAAACTAAAAAAGAATGCTTCCTTATAGTGGGAAAATCTACAAAGGCAAAGGAGAAGATGAGGAAGTTAGAAGGTCACAAGGGTTCTACAAGAAACAGATGAAGATTACAAAGACGCACAAGAGCAATGTCAGGAGAATCCATAAAAGCAATATTACCATATAGATAGATACTTATTCCACCAGAGTCAGTTATGCATTCCCCAATGTTCGTTAAGGGAGGCCATTGTTCAAGAAGGCGACAACGGAGGATTAGCAAGTCACTTCGGCAGGGACAAGACCCTTGCCCTTGTAAGGGAGCACTTTTTTGGCCCAAATTGATAAGATATGTAGAGCACCATATCAGACAATGTAGTATTTGTCATCTTGCAAAAACAATGGCTCAGAACGTAGGATTGTACACACCACTTCCATTATCATAGGCACCGTAGGTGGACGTCGGCATGTATTTCGTGATAAGACTTTAAAGAATCCAAAAAAATAATGACTTCGTAAGGGTTGTAGTAAAGAGATTCTCCAAGATGACCCACTTCATACCATGTCACTGAACACTAGATGCCTCTCATATTGTCGATTTATACTTAAAAAAGATTGTAAGGTTGCACAAAATTCCCAAAACCATCACCTCCGACAGAGACATCAAATTCCTAAGCCACCTGTTGAAGACTGTGGGGAAAGCTTGATACCAAACTCCAATTCAGCTCAACAGCTTATCCATAGATAGTCGGTCAACAAGAGCAAGCAAACCAGAACCTCGGTAATCTCTTGAGATGTTTTGTGGGAAAAAAAACATAAGACTGTGGAGTCTTACTCTAGCCTAATCTGACTTCTCATATAACCAATCCATCAGGCAAACTATTGGACAAACTTCCTTCAAGATTGTGTACGGACGCAATCCGCTCAAACCACTTGAATTAGTGCCCCTCCTGCCATCTTCAGAAATCAGCGAAGTTGCCACAGAACGAGTTCATGAAATTCAAAAACTCCATAAAGAAGTTGGTATGCAAATTGCTAAACAAAACAACAAATACCGGGCACAAGCAAATAAATCCATGAAGAAAGTAACGTTTCATAAAGGCGATCTCATATGGATTCGATTGAAAAAGGAAAGATTTCCCATAGGATCATTACGAAAGCTTAAGCTGAGAGTATATGGGCCCTTTAGAGTACTTCAGAAGCTGAATGACAATGCTTATAAAAACAACTTACCAAGGGACTACAATGTTTTCAGCCTCGTTCAACATCGCCGATTTAACATTGTACTTTGAAGAGCCTGAAGCTTTGACAAACGAGGACAAAGCTTCCCCAATCCCGAGAGACTGACGAATGTGCTAAAACAAGGCCCAGGTGGGGGCGCTAAAGCACACGGAGATGAAATCCTACAAACTGTCGGCGAGAAGCGAGAGGCTGGATCGCGAAGCGGTGAAGGCACGCGGGAGAACTCTCATGAAGGGGGAGGAGGCTTCAAGAGATGACACCCATGTAGTATTTTCTGGATTCTTCTTGCCTTCCCACCAGGTCCTTCTGTGTAGAAATTCTTTATCCAGTGGAATTCTAAAAATTGATGTCCTTCGTGTGTGGGGGTCAGTTCTATCTATGTCGTCTTTAGATTTCCTGTGTGGAGTCCTCTCCCCTTTGCTAGGTTTGTATCTGATGACAGATGATGCTCCGGTTGTAACCTGCTCCGAGGTGATGTATTCTCCATATATCCTCCTTCTCTCCAATCCTCCTACCTCTTCCCTAACCGCCGGCCACCCCCATCTCCCTCCACTCTACCACCACCTATACTCCAACCACAAACCTGCTGTCCAGCTCACCTACAGCCCACCAAACACCATCCCAACCTATCCAAACAGCCACCCGGCCTTCTCCACCTTTCCCTCCCACTCTGCCAACCACCACCGCCTTTGGATCTCTTCCTATAGCCCTAACCGGAGATTAGTCTGTTGTCATTCTCTCTCTTTACCGTTTGAGTCTTGTTGTAACCCTATCTTTAAAAGAATAAAAATTTGCATTTTTGTGCACCGTTTAATTTTAACTAGTTCTGGTATCACTACTACTCATATTGTTAGACATATAGATATAGATTGCATTTTCTTTGTTTGTATCATAGAGATTTTTTTTATTATTATTCACAAATTTCTTTGTCATCTCAAATAAAAGATAAAAAAGTTGGTAGAATTATCCATATCAAACATCTAAAATAGGACAACAATAACATAGCAACTAGAATTATGTTATGATAGCAGGCATGTCATCACCTGTAAGTTGCTTTTAATTGCCAAATCACAAAGATGTGAATTATTCACAATGCTGGAACGCTTTTTTGTTAGTTGTCCTTCATCCAGTCCATCAAAGGAAAGAAAACTATGCCGGCCAACAACATATTTTAAGAATGCATCCCCAAGCACCTCAAACCTTTCTAGAGAAAAGCGTTCCATGCATCTCTCTGTGGTGAGTGCTTCTAAGACCTGAAGTATAGGTCATCAGCAAAGAATGGAAGAAAAATATCAGCTAACGGTTAGGAAAACCATTAAGTGCTGCATTAATCAATAAAAAAATTGATAAGGTTCTCACAATGTCAGCTCTAATTCCAGAAGCCTCCGAGAAAGATGCAGATAAGACTTCCTTCAGTTCAATAGCCACTAGTAAATTCTCTAAACGATGCATTAAAGAGGGCAACAATGACAAGGAACTTCCTATGTCCTTAGAAAACCCAACTATCTTCAACCAACACAACTCAGGAGGCAGCTCCACAAAATATTCCTCCAATTCACGTGCTTCTGCTTTAAAACAAATTCAAAAAGGTACAACATAAAATAAAAAATAAAACCATGTAAAGGATAAGCAGATGTTCTATGACTTCAATTATAAATGCTGCATGGATGAACTCATGGAATACTGTAACTTTTAAACTGTCACGTCTGATGAGATAAAATTCACTATTGTTGGCTTAATGCCGATTGCATTTGACTTTCAAGAAGATCTTCTCTGTGGTTCTTAATTTGCAAAAACAATATCAATTTGTAAGCCTTCTCATTGGCCAATTATTGACAGCCTCAACAATATAAATAAAGCTTACAATATGACATCTAATAGAGAAGGCCAATGGTTTATTGCTTGACTATTAAAACTATCAAGCAACCTTTAACATGTACGGTTAGCGAATCAAATGGTAGCTTTCATGAAACAATGCGTGATTAAGAAATAAAATTAAAATTTATTTAAGAAGATACAGAATAGTCAAGCAGTCTAGAAGAGTTAAAATTTATAATTAAATCCTAAATGATCAACCCTAAATTCAAATCCATGGAGCTTTAATTAACTTAACCTAAGTGATCATATCTAACCAATTTACCCAAAAGATTGGTAACATGGGCTTATCCGACCAAATTGAACGTTCATATTGGGTTAACCATGGATCAGTCACGAGCCTTTTACATACTGCCATGGATTAAAGAGGAATAACAATGAGTAAACTCTATATTTTTCATATTCTGTGTAAGAGGTCCTTTGAAAGTATTTAAGTTGCGATCCAAATTGATTTAATTGTCTTAAAAAGCATAGGTGGTGACAATTATTTGCTTTCCAAGCTCTCCAATGAAAAGAAACAAAGTCATTCCATGGGTAGCTACTGAGAGTCTTGTAAATATTTTCCATTTTGAAAAAAATAGACAATATTCTTAGAGAAATCATACTTCAGCAAATCTCTTTATCAAAAGCGATTCCCACCACAAAAAAATTTAAGGCAGCCAAAAAAATAGTAATCAAAGGATCCGATAACAAGAACTGAAAAGAAACACTATTAAAAAACTGCCCCAAATTGAACCTTAATTTTTCTTTCATTGATAAGAAGAAAGCCAAAATGTATGCACCAAATGCACCAGCTTCCCACCACTCAAAAAAGTAGGATGGTACCACACACGTCATTCCTGCCATGATAAAATTTCAGGAACTTCAAGACAGAAGATGTATATAGCCTTGGAAATATTAACCTTATTCCAACACTTCCAATTAAAATGCTCCGTTGGTTAGAACTTAACATTTCTAAGCATTTCTTAAAAATTTCCAACTTTGGATTGATTTGAAGTTATTAACCAGCTAAAAATTGGACAGCCGAAGGTTAAATGTAAAATCAAAATTTAGCTATCACCACAAGCAACCTGCCAACAAGTACTTGAAGAGAGCTTTCGCATGCTATGTTAGATTTACGATAATAAAAACATGATTAGGTTACAATTTCCTTGCTATGGGAGAATACTTTGTCAGCGTGTGCAAATAAACCAAAAATAATAACTGGTCTTAGTACAACACATTTTGGTATGTACTAGAAAACACCAGCTGTCTACTCAAAAAGTTAGTAGACAAGCAAAGAAGTTCACAAATATAAAAATGCATAGTTGCTTAAGTGTTCATTTAACTCAACAAAAGCAATGGAAACTTAAGGCAGCATTTCAACATATAGGAATTCAGTCTTTTAGTGCCTACTGGCTACTGGATATAATTCGCAAAACAAAAGTGTTGAGATTCGCATAAGACTAAAAAGTATCCCCGCACTGGAAGTGAAATAAAAGTTGAATTATTAATATACTAGAATATACAATTACTCAGCTTAAATTTTTGAGAAGATAATTGTCCATCAATTAGTATATTAAACTTAACTTAAAGACCAGATATTCTAACCTCCTATCATGTGATATTATAAGTAATAGTTTCGGTAGTAGGGGTGTGCAGCGGATTAATTTAGATGAATCAAGTGAAACTGAAATCTAAAATCCAGAAAATTGAGCCAACCAATCTTTTGCTAAAATCGATCAAATCCAAACAAAAATATAATTAAATTTAATTGATTCTGTTTTGAGAAAATTAACTATTAGGCTTAAAAACATTAGAAATCAAAGTGCTGCTTTAGAATTAAAAAATTTAGATCTCTTTCAAATCTCCGCACCATCAATATCTCAATCAATTAGACCACAAGATTAATAAATTGGTGAATGCATACTAGACAAAGTTAGTATTTGACCGGTTAGTCCAAATGAATTTAATTTCTGAATCCTAACATTATCAAATTTTTTTATTTATGTTTTAATAAAAGATGAAAATCCAATTGAAAATCGAAAAAACTGAATTTTAAAATTTTTAAAACTAAAAATAGAATCATTATTTCAAAATTGCACTTTTTTATAATTTGACAAAATAATACATATCTATTGGCTAGGATTAAGTGGTTCATATAATTTATTGCCCTCATGCGCCTTGGCTACTTATACCCTGTTTGAGAAAACTTTAAAGAGCAAATAAGCCATCCGTTGAATCTAAGAGGGACATTGGGTCCATGGTGAATAACGGTTGATGATGTTGAAAATCTTCCGGTTGAGAATTAGTGATGCTTAATCTAGAGGACCAATGTAATGGGAAGATTGTCGAGATCTATATAAGATTTTAAAATAATCCAATGTCAATAGAATTTGATATTTTAGTACTGGCCATCACTAAGTAGCTATAATATTTGGCTTTACAGATGTCCGTCCATTAACGTATTGGGCTTTAGATTAGGACTCAATATTCCAACCTCTTAAAATAGTTAGAAGAAAAAAATAAAAAAAGAAATAATGAGTTTAAATAGATACAATTTGTGGTCCAACGAAAAAGATAGAGGTTTGATTAATTCTAATGAAGTGTACTCTCAAATTGGTCAACTTTAAAGTAAACACCAAGTCATTAATAATTGGAGATTTTCAGGGTGCAATTAGTAAAGGAAAGAAATCAATTGGAGAAAAAATAAAAATTTGCTTTTGACTTTCTTACCAGTAATTTCTTGAATTCGATTGTGTAATAAATTGCGTACATAAAATAATGGTTTGGCCTTCAAAAGTGGTTGCTCTGGGTATAAAAGTTGAACTCCAAACCTGATCCAAACATGCAAGATAAACTTTGAAAAGAAATCTAGCATCAAACTACACTATAAGGGTGTAAACAGGCTAAAGAAAAGATTTAAAGTAGATATAAGAAAACATTTGATTACATTTTATAATTCCTACTATAAACGTCAAACATTCAAATACTTATATAGATATAAGGATAATAGTCTTTGAATGTGTGTGTGCCGCGTGTGTAACTATAGAGAGAGAGAGAGGGAGGGAGGCATGAAGCCATAAAAAATGTAAGTTCATGGACACTTATCCTGATATAATAAATAAAGCATTTAAAAGATCCTATGGAATGTTATTAAATTTGCTTGCTAATATCAGGAAGCCCAAGGATGTATTGTTTCATCTGTGTGCATAAATTCTGAGTTACATTTAGAAGCTCTAACTGAATAGTATCAAAAGACTTACATGTAGAAAATTTGCAAATCATAAGCATAAAGTGGAATTATTTCCTGGAAAATGAATTTATTTAAAAGGGCAACATTTTAATAAAAATAAAAATAAACTTCCTGTGAAGACTGCAGTGAACCGACAGAAATAACTTACTTGAACTTATAGTGTTCTGCATAGCTTGTATCCCTATTAGCCATTCGGCTGTTAGAATTGATTTCTGGAAGAAGGCCATCAACAAAATAGAAGAGTTTATTGTGGGGAACAAAAACTAAACTGTCTAAAATGTGAGAAACATTTTCTTGACCGTTGAAAAGTTCCAAAGTGTTTCTTTCCGTGAGGCCTTTTTCATATAAAACATGCTCAAAGGCTGGTGATGATAGACAACGCTTAACAGTTGACCAGTCTATAGCTTTATTTTCTCCATTATTTTGCTCAATCACAGGTAGTAATAGGTAAAAAGTCGATGAAAGATATGCATTGCTTTTACCCAGAGCAACTATCTCATTAAAATATTCAGATCGATCAAGAAGTATTTTAAGAAACATTTCCTGGAATTTTTCTGCTTGAGAAATCTGAAAGAAAAATAATGAAGCATTAATTATGTAACTTGGCCAGATAAAGTACTAATTAAATCATCTGCATGACCAAAATGAAGAAGCCCACCTCCTCCCTACCAAAAGTAACCATTCCACAATTCACAAAGCCTGATTTAACAATTCTTCCTCGAGCAAGATGTAAATCGACTTCCATTGCTTCGGCTTCTTCTGGAAGAGGAGCTTTGAGAATAAGTCCGAAAGCACGATACTTCCTATCATCCGGCATAGGGATAAATCTTATATGATAAAAGTATAGCTTTATCTTCTCCTCAAAATCTGGTAAGGGACCTTTAAGAACAGTAGGAACTAGCATTTCATAAAGTTCTTCTTTTAGGTTTTCATCTGAAATACACCAAAGAAAGAAAAAAGGAGAAAAAAAAAACCCAGACATGAAGTGGTGGGATTATGAAATGATTTGACCCAAAAAATCAATACATGATAAGCAAAAACTTCTTTATTAAAAACTTTAACCTTCGCTGCATACGCTCTCAGAAGAATGTGTTGGAGATTCAATGCCTTTTGTATTACTGAAACCAGGCAACAGAAAGTCTGATAAGGCACCCCTTCGATGCAGTTCAATGCAAGCATTCAGGCATGCAGCTCTCTTGGCTTCATCTTTTGAAGCGCATGGTAAACTGTCAGCCTGACGAAGAGGAGCATTGGGAGGAAGTATTAATCTGCAGATCGTCCCATCTCTGTCATCCATGTAATAGAACTTTAGGTTAGGAGTAAAGAACCTGCAGCAAAACAAAAACTTTATTATGTAATTTCAGAAATTACAAATATCATCAACAACGAAACAAGGGAAAACAAAGTTCAGTACTTGTCTCGAGGAAGTTTTGCACAGTAGTGATGAAGAAGTGAAACGCTACATGCTGTACTTATAGACGCTCCAGTAAGATCAACTTTATAAATTGCCTCATCTAAATTATCAAAGACGGCATCAGATGACCTACAAACAATTTCTTTGTTCATAGCATGTTCTCCAGACATGAATTCACCAAGTAAATTCTCATCTTGCAAGTTTTCCCTGTGATTGTTTATGGAAGCAGACACTCCATTAACTAATCGAAGTGGAAAAAACAAATGGACGTCAGGAAATGTTAAAGAGAACCTTTCCAACAGAAATATGAATTCAGATTTTAGCATGCGTGCGCGTCCTCGAGATTGTATAAAACTAGCAACAGTTTGTGGTAGATCAAATCTAACTACCAGGCAGCAGGTCTGAATATCGAGACCTTCCTCAGCAACGTTAGTAGCAACCAAAAGATTAACCTAAAAAAAAAAAAATAAGCAAATTCCCTCAAGGAAGGGTTATTAGAGTATATGCATTTAAAGTATGTACAGCATGCATATAACAAAGTAGAGCGAACTTGCATGCTTATCAGGACTACTTTCCACCGGACCAAAAATGTTTCCAGTATAATTTCATCGGAAATGAAACGTTCAACATCCAAGTAAGCAATTATAATCGGAATGATGAGATGTCAAAAAAATTAACTGCACTAGAAATCCCTCCCACAAAGAATCACTAGACAATTTCCAATATTTGAAAAATTTCCCAAGAAGGTAATATAATGCCTCAGAATTTTGGAACCGTCTATTGCATGTTTGTGTTGCTAGGAAGACAGCTAACAGGGAAACGACGTGGAAGAGTCAGATAGAAAGGCCAAGTGAATGGGGAGGTTGGATCAATATTTACAAGATGGAGTTGGAGGGATGGAATTGAACAAGTGAAACTGAAAGGAGAACATAGAATTATTGGGAGAGCTGACAGAGAAATACCAGGAACATATAACATCGATCACGCGAGCTGAGAAGAAACTTGTGTCAATCAGAAGCAGGAGTGAGCGACAAGCAAGCAACGGAATTGAATTGTGGTGTGCTTGTGTAAGATCCATCAATTTGGAGTGGAGAGTTTATTGCACATTCTAACAGTTAATGCCGTGCAACGTCATGAAGAAGTGATCGGAACCACGAATGATGACATAGGAGTGACAAGCAAGCAAGCGCAACGAGCGAGGATCATGCAGGAATCAGGGTGGAGAACAAGATAGCAAATGATGAGCGGTGTAGGGGAAACACATTTGCTAGCGCTTGAAACCAGGAGAGAGGCAATAAATTCTCGCAAACAAGAGGAGCCAATAATTTCTTTATTTTAATTTATACCTATGATGCATTAGATTCGAAATCCAACTTTAATAATAAAAAATAAATCTTTGAAACAGAATGAAGTAGTTAACTGTAGTTAATTGTATTCAATAAAACAAAATAGTTAATAAAAAAATTGTAATATAAATGTATATATAGGATGGCGTCGTCTTCTTCGATATTGCTCTGCTAGGGTTTCGCCATCATGGCGAACCCTGGTTTTTGCTATACTGCTTGTGCTCGATCTTTCGTTGTTTTCGTCTGTTTCATGCGCCATCCTCGTGATTCTTCTTCTGCGGCGTCAAGCGCGTTTTTGCGGGAGTGCGTCCGTGCGGCATGCTGAAGGGCTCGCAATCAAGGCTCGTCTTCTGTAGCGTCGTACGCGTCTCTACGAGATCATCTGCAGGCTGAAGGGTCCGCGAGTCTTCTGCGGCGTCCTTAGACTGTTTCGATGCTGAGATTTTTGCGTCTCGCCTACTGCGATATCAGAGCGTAGTTCTCCTTGATGACGCTTCCTCCTTCGGTTGAACCTGACAAAGCCTCCTTCACCCAAGTGGTGGGTAATCATTTAGTGGAGTCTAATGTGGTCTTCCCCTCAAGCTATAAGTAATATCGTGATGATACAGATGAATGTCTTTTTCTTAAGAAGACAAATAGAAAATGTCACTCTTTTTTTCTAATTTAGAAATTTCAACTCTGACTTAGAAATGCAAGTTCGCTCTTATTAGAAAATTTCAGTGGGGACACCCATCTATGGAAGTTATCAGAAAGAGTTTTGACGATCTCAAACTTGTGGACAAGTGGAAAGTGAGACTCTTGATGAGAGAAGTGTTGATTCAGTTAACCGTGGCTGAAGACTACGCTCGGATTTTCTTTAAAAAATATCTTAGTATTGTAAGTCAATGAAGTTACTCAAGTGGTCTCCTTATTTTGACCTAAATCATGAGTCTCCTATTGTACCAGTATGGTTTAGTTTACCTGGTCTCAAGCTACATTTTTTTAATCATCAGGTTTTCTACTATATTGGGGTCATACTTGGAGTTCCTATAAACTTGATCCACTCACCTTCAATCTAATTAGACCTTCTGTGTCTAGAATACTTATGGAAATGAATATTGCTTTACCTGATATTATTGAAGTCTTGTTGGACACAACTTATAATAGATATTGGCAGCAAATTATCATGAAACATGGACTTTTTCATTGTACTCACTGTAAGATGTTTGGGCATACCATTGATAAATGTCAGAGGGTTCATTCTAATTTGAAATTTAAAGCTCAAGTAAATAAGAATGGGTTTAACCCCACTGTTCTGAACACATCTGCTTAACCTGTGGAGAAAATTACCACAAGATAAGATTTAGTGTATGATTTAATTGCCTCTGTGAATCCCCCCTGTCAATATTGTTTATGTTTCTGTGATTGATGTTATGTCGAATGACTCTGTTGGGCAACCTACACCTTCATACCTTATTGATAACATTACTGAAGGATCCTTACCTACAAAGGATAGTGTTCAGACTGATAATCGGGAGAGCCTTGTAGCTCCTCATCTTCCAAAAGTATCTGGTGCAGAGGCGACAACTTATACTTCATATACACTACAATTGACAATCTTTCTACTATGGATCTATCAGCTCATTCAAATGAGCAAGAGAATCAATCTTTGGATGAGAAATGACAGGTTTACACATCTATGAGGAAAAAGAAGAATGAAGACATACTTGAGCTCAGGAATCAAATGGATGATACTTTGGTTACTTCGGGAAATTGTACACACCTCACCAACTTGTTAGCTGACTCCTTTCGAGAACAAGAGAAAGAGAAAAAACTAAATTGGGTCGTCCCTAATTATATGTAATTCCTTGTTTTTAGGATTTTTGTGTGTGTTGTACCGTGTGGGTTGGGTGTCTTCTTTTGGGCCTACTCACACAACATATCTGTATCTTTTCCTTTTTAATATATTAGCCCTTGGGCTTTATATATATATATATATATTATGGAAGCCCTAGGGCTGATTATATTGGAATAAAAAATGATACAAAAAAGTTGTATGAGAGGGCCCAATAGATGATGCCCCACTCATACGATACATGATACAAAGATATATAAAAAAAGAGATACAAAAGACTCAAAAAAAGAAAACATGCAAAAACAAGTGTATATGGACGAGGTAATTCAAGTGTATATGGACAACAAGTGTATATGGACGAGACAGTTTAGACCTGCCTCTTCCTCCGGTTCTTGGAGCAGATCTAGATAGCAAACTCTGAAGTGTTGTTCCATTGTCATCATTACAAAGAGTGATCAAGGTATCATCCATTAAGTTTCCAAGCTGAACAGTGTCCCCAACCTTTTTCCTCCGCCAATAAGTGAAAACTTGTCATTCTTCTTCTGAAAACTTTTCAGTCTGATCCGTAGAAGGAAAGACAGTTGCAGTGATGAGTTCCTGAGTTTGTGTAGGACAGTCTTCCAAAACTTGGGAAACACCTGCCCTCTCAACAGGTACTTCTACTAACTAATTAATAGCAGTAAGATGGTTTGTGTTTGACTCTAAATCTTCCTCATTACTATTAGGAGACACATTTTCCATCATCTGAATGTGAATGTTTGATTCATCCCTATGTTCAATCACCTCATAGAGGGGAGCTTGAGCACCCTCCACGATAGGTAGAACCTGAGAGGGTAGTATGTCCACTCCAGTAGAAGAAGAGGCAGTGATCGTGTCCTGCCTTCCAGCGGCAACCACCCGACTCTCCTCCAACGAACGACCATTATCAATATTTTCCGAAACAATATCACCGAAACAATATCAGTAGACAAACCATTTTGCACCATAACCTACATGGGCATAGCAGTAGGTATCATAGACAGTGAGGAAGAGGGTATAACCTCCGCAGAAATGTGCTGAGAAACAGGATGTGGGGCTACAGCCGACCGAAGATGGGGATGCAACCGATAACATGATGAAGAGCTAAGACAAAACATTCCACAATGAGAGCAGTATTGGGGATGAGGTCCCATCACAATCTTCTGCAAATAACCCTGATGAGGGGAGGCAATCCAAATCTCCCCTGGAAAGGGTTGAGTGATGTCGTTGCTCTACAATAACACAAGCTTCAGATGGCCTGGTTGTATCAAGTGTGGGAGTATCAACCTTCAGCAGTTTCCCAAAAGCAGTTGTCAATGTATCAAGGGTTTCATAATTGAAGAGATGCACCTTGAGCCCTGGAAAATTACCCTAAACCAGGATAATAGGAGATTCCAATTTAGGATCAAAATCCACTATCCATTACAGAATTTTCATAAAGCGATTATCAATTTTGAGAGCTTCTTGAGCAAAAAGTTGAGTATAATCTGCGTTATATGGAGTTAAATGAGAACGTGACGGCCATCTAGCGAACCAACTTTCCAACTCCCTGTGAGCTTAAGAGAATCGAAATGCTTTCTAATAATCTCAAGCTTTGGATTTCCATATGGAAATTTCCCAACAAGAGTATATCTACATGTTGAAGCCAATATACTTGTTTCCTCATCAGTGAGAAAAAAAGCAGGTTTGCCATTCTTTCTTCCTGGTAGTTTAATAAAGGTATAACCACCTCCAAATTCATGTGCATCATGAAATTCTTGAGAGAAGAAACAGGAATGGCCGCCTGCTTCGGGAGTAGAACCCTTGGAGACAGCCGCCGCATAACTCAGGGTCATTCCACCAAACCGGAACAAAAGTAAACCTAAATGCAAAAGCCCCACGCGCCAACTCTAGAGCTGAAGCAACGAAGAACATAAACAAGGAACGCAAATCTCGAAAGCAGACGAAAAAGGCCACAGACTACGACCGGAGAAGAAGGCTGCGATCGGAATATCGTAGCATAGGTAGCTGACCAGAACGCAGTTTGCGGCTGGGGACGAAGGCTCGGCTGGCGCACGAACGCAGACGACGACGAAGAACAACGTAATCTACGACGCGATCAAGGACGAAAGCACTGCCAACAACGTGCGAGTCTGCGTCCGATGCCTATGAAACAGTAGCACGACGAGGAAGATGGAGTGAAAGCCGGAGGTTAACGCTGGGTTTCTCCATCGAGCGAAACCCTAACAGAGGAACTCATACTAGTTTATATATA